TCATAACAAATTTTCCCTTTCTAATACAATTGCCACTCGATTCAATTATTATTAGCCTAATAGGGCAGAGAAAGAAAAAAAAAGCTACTTTTCGAAGCGACGATTATATTTAGAACGGTATGTACTTAGCTGCGGGGTGCAGAGAGATGTAATTGAGCCGTGAAGTAATGGAAAAATTAATCAGAGATTAAGTGCCGCTGTCTGATCACGTACCGGCTTATTCCACTTGTTGACGATGCTCGCGGAGATGCTACCATCATCCTTGTACAAATGGCAATAAACCTAATTATGCTACAGTGAAGGACGTTCTTGTCGTAGGAATTTTTTCTTCACTATTTAAAAATTATTTCGTTGAAAATCGTGGAAGGACGATATAAAAATTGTTTTAATTTTTATTTTTATTATCGAAAGATTATTTCATATAATTAAAAAAAATGAATAATATTACTTTGAAAAAGAAGGTGGGAAAATATTTGCACGATTCACGCGTCAACTTTCTTTTTCTGACAGAATTCTGGTTGGCTGAGTTTCAGGAATGAACCGGCAACGGGTTAGTGTATTTTCATTCCGAATTACGAAGTCGAATTAACAATCTTTCAATGTCTTGTAAGGTTAAGGTTACATCGGTGTAGATGCCGCAAGGTTGCACATTATGTAAACCTATTGTGTACACCTGGCGTGCTTTACTGGACTCTTCCGCGAATGCAAATCCTTAAACAGAAGCTGGGAAAATCACGCGAATACAATAGAACGAATCTGTCTATGGCTGAGTTATGAATGAAATTTTTCTTACAATTAGAATTAATCGTCTGATTATATAAGGAACGTTTAATTGGATAAGAGATTTATAACGAATCCGGGATAAAAACATTACAAAATACTAACATAGTGTATCCTTTTTAAGATACAGTTAATATGACAAGAGATAACAAATTTTCATTTCTTTTCTAATTTTATGATTTATAATAAGAAACTTGAAACCTATCATTTTAACCCGTTTGGTAGTTCTAGTGATAATACCGTAATTATACTTTGAAAAAATCTAGAGTCGAAGCAAAAAGGATAAATGAAATTCTCTTTAATCGTGATTCACACTTGTCAACTTCGAATCGAATGAATGTCGCATCGTTAAAAGTAAATCTGACCCGTGCGCGACTTTATTTTTTCCTTTTAACGTAAACCTCGATTCGTATAGCAAAGTGGATAGCCTTTTTTTTCCACAGGTGTTTCACGTGTCGTGGTAACGAGACACCTCGAATTCGACGAACATCAATGTGAATTCGTCGTGTAATTACGTGGTTGGTCGGCGGAGCCGGTTTACAGCACGTGTTAAGTTAATCAATCCAGTTAGAACGGAGAACGGTCATTATAGCAGCCTCTGAATGGTAAGCAAACCGCAGACAGATTCGTTCATTGTAACGTGCAACGTTTCAACGTTCCCGATGCTTTTGCAAACTTTACCTTAAGGATCTTTGAACTTTACTTTAAATTAGCGACACGTGTAGTTTGTTTCGTGAAAGACGACCGGGTTATTAAAATGAGCCGTCCTATTAAACCGGTTTCCTTTTATTTTTATATTTCGAACAATTCTGAAGAAGAAATGTCCTTTAATGTTAGTGACAGTGACGATTTTAATTCCTGATGAATGGAATCAGATAAAGACTGATGCATCATTTAAGTTAATTTAATATCTCATAATTTTTCAATAAAAGCCGTCAAATTTTTTAGCAAAAACTTTTATATATTGAAACAATAAAAAATTCACAAAGTTAAAATAAAAATCAATCTAAAATTAATTTTATACTTTAAATTATACAGAGGGTTCAATTTATTTACCACTTTTGCTGTATTATACAAGTACAATTATTTGTAATAGAGGAAGTTACTAGTCGAGTAGCCCTATTACTAACGAACACCCTGTTCATACATTTATTCAATGCAATTCATTCGTTACCATAAATTTCTCGTGTCGAATTAAATCAGCGTAGCACACAAATGCAACATAATTCCATCCATCATAGTGATTAATGTTTGTCTTGGATGCTAACGATCCAAGTGTTGTTTGCAAAAATTTCCGGATCATTTTCACGGATTAGTTGCCGTTCGCTAATCGAATCGCGAATATACTCTTGAATTAACGGCATCGTTTTGTTTACAAGACATTTTCTCTTGTCGGGGATCGTAAAAATAATATCTGTAAACGTCGCATGATTATGCGTCTGACGAGTCGACCTTATGACAATTCAAAATTCTATCCAGTTTAATCCGTGTACAAGGAAACGATCAACTTTTTAGAAGAATTATGATGATGAGATTCACTGCGAAGTGGCTGATGTTTTTTCCTGAACTATTTCATTTAACGCATTACGTGTTTGCGGTGTGTAACACGAATCTCAAGGAAATTAGAGATTGAAGCTTACCATGAAGAAAAGAAACGTGGAAATTACTTGTAAAATGAATCACCTTGTGTCTTGAAGCTGAACAAGTTCGCCTTCAAAATTATAATTTTAAGATTTTGAAATTTGAGAATTCTCGAATTTCCAATCTTCATATTCCTAACACCCCAGAATGACGGAACTCCAAAGTTTCAAAATCGCCAAATTTCCAAAGGGGCATGATCCACCCCAGGAAGAAAACCTAGTTAGATGATTTTCTATTTTCTATTACTTGCCCTTCTTCGAAAAGCAAGATCTGGATCACAGTGGTATTGTATATACATTATTCACGAGTCCTCCGCGAAAATGATAGTGTCGTGCGCGACACAGTAGATATGAAAGCGCGAAACAAACACGAACAGCCCCCGGGAATTGGCAATGCTCTTCGTAAATTAAATAGAATCGCAGGTGACAGGAAATGAATAGATGGAAACGTAGAACGCCAGGTTTCGTAATGAACCTACTAACGGCGATGTTACCGGTGGAAATTGCAAAAATGCGTACCGCAAAACCACGTAACCTGGAAGAACGCCTCGGTGAGCTTCAGTGTGCATCTGATTTGAAACACATACTGAATGTGAATTGAAACGTGTACAGAGTCATAGTGAATCTATCCTGAGCAAATGAACGAGAATGAAATAGTTAATGAAGACGGAATAAATTTGCCTTTAGTCATTAGAGTAATTAAGTAGAGGGTGAACCCTAGGGTGAACAAATGTATAGTAACTCTCTTAACATTCTAAAATTTAAAAATTCTAAATTTTAGACAATGAATACAGGGTTCTTTAACACCCTCCATGCATTTGTGAACTTGATCGATTTTTTCCAACGAAAAAAGTACAATTTTCTTCTTCATAAAAAATGAAAAAAAAAAAGATGTTTTTATCGCAAGGGTCTCGTTATCAATACTACATTGTTCGAATGCAAAACTAGAGGGAAACAGGAAAAACGTTTTTCTTGTTGGATGATAATCATCGATGAATGAAAAATGAGCGGTGTTTCGCGGTAAACAGAATTCTGAGCTCGTCCAATGGATTTGTTTAGTACACGTAACACGTAGCAGCTTGTTTTATCCGACATTCGCACGATCGAGCTCGCGTGCGATGTACAATCAAAGTCAAGGTGAAATCTGGAAATTTCCAAATGCTTCGACTGAATGAATCATGCTTCTTACTGTACCAGATCTCTTCACAGAAGAGATCGGAGAGATCGGATCGAGTCTGCAACTTTCTATAAACGTTGTGACAGACTCATCGAGAGAAATCAATTCTTCTATGCCCTTTTTTCTGCAGCAACTGCTTTGAACAAGGTTTACAACGATCTCAGTGAAACTATTTTATGTTTGAAATAATTTTGGAAAATAGTACGCTCAAAATTTACTGAAAATCACTGCACAAATGTCACAAAATCAATCGTAGAATTTCGGATACTTTATATAGTACATGAACATTGTCCGTTGCAATTCACAACTAGTCATCTCATGTTAAAAATATTAACAAAGTTTTTATATAGTCATCTTCGCTAAACTTTAAGCTTTAAATTGATGTACTATAAGTGCTATTTTGTAATACTTTTATGTCATCAATTTGTGTCAGACTTTATTTGTTGAGTATTAGCTCGAAAGAAGTACAAATTTTAATTTATAGAAAAAAAGGGATAAAGATTGCTATAAAATTGCAAAATTATTATTAATAAAGAAAAATTGTGTAAATTACCGTTTGAATTCAGAATACAATAGCGAGTCGCGATCTATCGAGAATCGTTCCAGTCAATTTAAAATTAACCGCGAGTGCAATGCTACTTCTCGGTCGATAAAACTGTAATCAATAATTATTTTTTCTTTCACAATTATTTTTCGAAAACTATAGCAAAATAAACCTTTTAACTGGTACATACACAGTCCAATTATATCCTAGCAATTAATTTTTATAATTTACCGCATTAAACATAATTTCAAGGATTTATAACACTTTTGTAAAACACCTGACTCACAATCAGAGCTCTAAAAGACGTAGAAAAAATGTGGATAATTATCTAGTTCCTCTGATCTTGCCATTCTAATTATTTCTCGGTATACCTTGCAGATTAAACGAAGTGGAAAACTTTTTTCCAGTCATTTTCTTAGGATAAGTAGAAAATGTGCGTTTGAGGAGAGCCAGCGTATCGGCTTAATTTCACGGTAATTGCATGGCATCTCGGTAGAAGGAATCACGAGTTCATGTAAATGTAAATGAGGATTACATTTCTTGCGGGGCGCTATGCCAGGAAATGGTTGCATATCGAGTCAACAGATAGTGAATCACGTTCTGATCGCGAGTAATGCATTTACCGGTGTGTCATTGATTTTACAACAGATAGCAAAGTTAACTTGTGTACCGTTTTGGTAATGCAGTATTTCCGTAAATAGGTGAATGCAAATTACGAAATAGCCTGATACGTTATGGGACAGATAATGATGTAACGCACAATAGAAGAGTATCACAAACTCGATGACTCAAAAATTCAAATGCGAAACTATCATGCGGAATTACAATTACAAAAAGATTAGAATTTGCAAGTACTTACGATTGTATCTATCCTGAACCTCCTCGTCATCCTTCACGCTCGCTGATGCATGACGTTGTGGCCTCTCGTTTTCAGTAAATCCTTCCGGAAACACGGTCGAGACATTCATAATACCGGTCGACTTGTGAAACTGGAAATAACAGAAAGAACGAATTTCGTCAAATTTATTTCTAGATCGTTTTTCGACACGTCAAGTACTCTACGAGAATAAATTCCTTTTCAAAGAATTGAACGAGCGTCGATGAATTTCGTTTTTCTATTGCAAACACGTAAATTAAAATAAATATTTAACAAACGAACACAATTTACATTCATGACGATTGTTGGAAATAATTGTGCAACTCGTTGGATTAATAGAAATTGTAATTTTGCACAAGAAACGTTTCGTGTCGCTGCTGAATTCGCTTTGACCGATTCTATTTTCTGATCACATTAGATCAGGTATCGCTAATCGAACGTTTCAATATGATTCATTAGAGCCTTCTTCTGACACTGAGTCGCAAATATCATCCGTGATTTCCAGGTTCAAAACGGTGTTCATTGAAGAAGATATAAAGAGGAGGAAGTAATAAAACAAGGGAATAGAATTTTAAAGTTTTCTATCGATTAAGGGTGAAAAGAAGTCAAACGTTGGTATTACGCATTTTTATAGAAGGAACACTCCCTTATTTTGATAACAACTAATTATATGATATAAATTATTTTGCTTCTCAATGTTACAAAGAATTAAGGGTGAATGTAGGGGGGAGGAGTTTTCCTCTTGGAGCTTTCAGACCAACTCGAACTCTTCATTTTCATTGCGACCTAAATGCATCACGATTACGCTTTCTTAGTTTGCATTCTTGATAAGATCGCTGCTATTCATATCATCCGAAGGAGGTTACACTTCCATGAAAACTATACTAAACCGGACGAATAACTTCAGTCTTGTAAATAGTAAATTCCCTAATACCAAATTCATTTCAAATTATTGCAAACTCTAAAAATTCGAAGAATTCAACCCCTAATCAGGAGTGGAGCGAAAACTAGAATTCCACTGACAATGTAATTGAAACATTCAAATTTTGTTTCCATCCTTAATCGAAGATATCAAACTGAAAGTTTAATTTAAAACATTAACCACTAATATCTCCGTAGCAGAAGAAAATTCCATCACAAAATAAATTCACGCCTTACTATGAAAGGAGAAGAATAATTCACCGAATTACCACTTACAGGATATGGTGGCAGGTGTTTGGCCTTCGGCTGGATGGTCAAAAACTCGTGCCAAAGGTTCAGATAGGAAGGCTTCTTGCCCACTGAACGTTGCATCCCCTGGCCGACTACTTACAGCACACCCTGTTCACTTTGCCCTGTCCGAGGCCTTGTCCAGTCGTAAACCTTGCCACTGCGCAATTCGCGTAACCACGTGGCCAGCTCTACGATTCAAGGAACAGAAAAGTCGAAATCCTGGCGGGACAATCGTACGAACCTGGTGCTAGTTCCCTCGCTACTACGAGATCCTTGCTGCCAATCGTGAATGTAGCGTGACTGAACAAGATCTTGCGTATACGATGCCCTTGGCGAACAAACCTGCAGCAATTGCGTGACACGGAGATGGTCACCGAGCAGGAAACATCATGTACGGTGATCCCTTTCCAACGATAACGCGATGATACCTTTGAATGTCCGTTTTAACCCCCGACGTTTAATTTATGCTGTGCATTGTGTGCATCTTTCTTCCAGTGTTTCCTCAGGCACCACATACGAGCGATGATATACACGACGATACTTAATTACTCGGCTATGAAATTGAACGAAGACACACTGTTATCACTTTCATGGTCGCACGTTTCGTAGAATTCATGGCTCTCTTTATGTTTATGAAAAAATTATTGACAACGTACACTGGGAGATTAATATTATAATTTTTGCAGTAACATTAAGGTTAGATCCTTTTTTATCTTACAAGGTAATAATTAATGAAAAATACAAGCATTCAATGTATTTTGTTTAAACTATCGGTAAACTAATTGTACCATCGATGTTCTCGTATCAAGGAGAGTCCAAGAAACAGTGGTCGACCACTTCCGGTTGGTCTGCTGGGTCCAACACCGTGGTGGCCGAGATCTGCCGAGTGATACGATATGCAACTGGGTCGTCGTTGCTTCGAACAGGATCTCCCTGTCTGGCTGATTTAAAATTACAAGATCGAAGGTATTGAATGTTTTAAAAAATTTCGAGACAAATCTGACGTGGAAGTCGAGGTGTTCGTCTTTTCCGGTTAGCTGAAAATCCACCACTGTTTCGAAGCTCTTCCTGTGGCCTATATCGAGTCGTTAACTGATATTACAGCGATGGTGAGCTCGCGTGCAGATAAAACCGTGACAATTAGCATACGTGAGGTCAGTCGATGGATTCGACGAGAAAGAGGTGCGATGGAACGTCACTTCTGCAGTGTCTTGCACTCGTAGTGACCACCTGCACTAAAATACTATGGTGTCTGATCATTTGTTCGTCGATGAGAAACTGTTCATTGCAATTATAAACGCTTCTTTTACTCCTCTACTTCTTTATGATGGAACTGGATACTTTCGTTTGTAATTATTGATTACTTCAAGAGGTATTGTACATAATTTTATATTAGAAGTATGCAAATATTTCCATCGTTTCAAAGAGAATTTTTCTTTAATGATAAAACAGAATTTTGAGATGATATATTAAAAATAATAACGTATGAAATTATATGGTTCATTAGCGACGTTATTCCTCATGAATCGTATCAAGAATGAAATATATTCAGAGAATATCATCAATAATAATTGCACCTAGTGTCGTTGATATTGACGTGAGTTTATTTTTGCATGACATCCATAAATCTTTAAATGCAATAACCGATGCACTTGGAAGATAACATGCACTATTGTGCAATCATTCATATTTTACATCCATGCTCTTTCATTATATTCTCCTTTATCAATACACGTGTTGCTTTTGAACTTTACCATTTCAATGAATTTTCTTCAAAAATTAAAAAACCATTCGAGGAAATACTTCAGAACACTTAATCGTAAATTAGATCAACAAAGGGACATCTTCACCATCTAAATGTCCGCAATTTCATTAGAACCCCTATGTATTTAAGCCTTTCTTTTCAACAAGAGGCAATAAGGGGCGGTTCCTTGGAAGATAAACACCGTCGTATCTTAAAACGAAGCTTTGTAAAAGGACGACACGAAATACATCCTTCGAATCAGGTGCATCCTTTGCGCTCTAAATCGAGAAACAGAGATTAGGGTGTGTTTAAGGCGAGGCGGCTGGTTTTCATTACGTCCACTTCTTAATGTCTGACACAAAACAGTAGCAATAACGCGATGCATTTCTCTTTCGGATCAATTGATCGTTTGATTCGTATGATGTTCCAGGTCTGCGAACGATCGAGCTTGAAATTCGTGCCGGAAACACGCGTCGCTGACCCGTCCACCTTCTCGAGCCAGTAATATGGTTCGTCGACATCGAAGAACAGTTAGATTTCTACGAAAAAGAAGTGGAAGGAAGATAATTGCTAGTAATGAGCCAAGTGTACACGATCAGAACGATTGTTCAGGTGAAAATGTAGAACAAGTGCAGGTGTGCAATGACGGCTAGTTACTTAACACGATGACCCACGCAATGAATATGACCATCTATAGAAACACTGTAATTACAATTATTAAGAATACGATCGTTTCATTTCTCAATTGAAATTTTCCATTCACGGTGCTGCTTTCCATTTCATTCAAATTCAGCCGGTCGAAGCGTGATAATGAAATTCACAAGTGGAACATTGGTGAATAAATATTTTCACTGTAGAGTATTGAAATAATAAATTTGTATATCATGTTATATTATTTTCAGGAAAGTACTTGATTTCACTAGACACGTACAAGGTCTTAAATAAAAGAGTCTTCGTGGACGAGTTGATATCAAGTTTTCATTGTAATATCACCTTGGCGTCCATGAACTTTACCATGAATTTCGAAGAAAAAAATTATTAAACAAGTTACAATATACCTACGATATTTAAAAAAAGAAGTAACTCTAGCAAAGGTTATTGTATGATAACAACCACAACAAAGCATATCTTATTTTTCTTATCACTGTCGCTCTATTAATTATTGGAAATAATGAGGTAGAGAAATGCATTCGTATCAGGGTGTTATCATAATGAAAACAATATTATCAAGAGGCAACGTTCGATTAACGTACGTATAATGTGCTTTTTATAGCAAACCACTCGAGTCTTATTAACATAACATAGCAAGTTAATCTGGTTAAGGAAGTTGATATATGAATGAATTAAATCATCCTCAAGTAGAGAGTCAACGGAGGCGTGCAGCGATGCGTTTTCACGTGCAAATTGTCTGTTCGATCAATTTGTAACACTAAACGATTCATCCTGTATGTTCATTTCTGTGTTTGCTTAATAAGCGCAAAATAAATAATCTGCTCGTTAATTGAATTATCCTTTAAAGAAAGAAAAATACTTTCACTTACAGGTAACTATTAAGTCAATCTATTTTTTTTTTCTTTCCAAATAATTAATTAAAAGTTGCAAGATTTCGTTATTAAACAATTCAAATTCAATTATATTTTCAATTGACTGCATACCATTGTATTTATTGTTCTATTATTAAATAAAAAGGCACTTGATGTCAGTGTTTAAATACAAATTGATATTCGTAGGAAAAAATCAAGTCGAGGTTGAATCAAGAGTTCAAAATACTTGTCGCACAAATTAATCAAGGATATTAATTGCTCGTATTCCGAGCTTAATTAACGAGCAAACTTACTGGCGAATATCTATCACACATGTCTATCTTTCTAAAAGTGATTTTTTTTCTTAATAATTTGATAGAGAACTTGGAATTACATTAAAATTATTCTTTCAGAGTAATCGCGAGCACGTAACTCGTAACGTTCTGCATCGGCTGTTCTGCACGGAAGTCTCATTGGCGAGTTATGTTTCCGTTTGCTAGATGGAAAAAAATGAATCTTCTAGTTCCAAGTATCAACCAGCGAGTAAATGTTAACGAAGAAAAAAAACCTGTGTATCAAAATTAGAATAAATGAAGAAAATCACGTTATTAATGAAAGTATTATACATGATAAAATGCGATCATCGATGTCAGACTTGACGTATAATATCTATAAACGTATGGATACAATACATGATTGCAGTATGTTCAATCAATTCTTTCATAATCCTTGGTATTGTAAAAAAGTTGCTTTCAATTTTCTTCGTTAACCCATGAAGGACATTGGTGTTGTTCTCATTACGTTTAATTATCACAATGTCAGCAGTAGTAGACTGAGAATATACCAAAGAGCATGGTAAAAATAAAGCAGAATCATTGAGTGATAGGCACGCCTAGTGTCATAAAAGAAATCTTCAATGTTTACCACTGATTAATACTTTCATCATTTCTTAGCAGTACGAAATTTTGTGTAAGTAGTATAATATACAGCAAAAGTATTATTAAATTAAATTTTAATTTTCCTATTTGGATTTTAAAAAATTCAATGAGATAATGAAATTTTATGAAGATGCATTATTGTTAACGAGATATATTCAGATTTGGATTTCTTCAAATTTATAGAAATTCGATAATGAGGTGACAATTGGCATTCCAGTTGCACCGTGTTGTGTCTCGTACGGCTGGTGCAACAAAACAACGATGCTACCTGGAGATCGTGGTTCGTTTTAACCGTGATATCCCTACTCTGGTACCGGCTACCAGACCACGAGAACAGACGCAGTTAGATACCTACGTGAGACCAGTTGGTTTCTATGCTCGAGAGCTTCAACAGTTGTCGCTTAGTGGCTCTAACAGACCGTTCACTTCTTCGAGGGTTGCTAACGTAAACCTTGTGACAGATTTCGCCAGCGAAATTATCACAGAAAAATTGTACATTTAATTGTTTCGTTACTGGACGCAGCTGGACCATCCCTAGGGTGAGTTTCTTTGTTTAACCCCCATATAGACTTCTGTTCTTTTTCAAGTTCAAATTAAATACCGCGAGAGCCATCAGTGACTGACATTAGAAATTTAAAATAATTTCATGACTTACAATGAGAGAAATTAAAAGAAATTCTTTTCCAAGTATATAATTATAATTATTTTCATTTTCCATTTGCTTTTCTTTTTCTTTTTTTTTTATTATATTAATTGTGGAAAATGAAACGATAGCAATTCAAATAATTAGAATTACAATAAAATATAATAAATAAAAATTGCATTATTATTATGATATAATCAAACAATAAATAGTTTAAGATTATAATTTCATTGGAGAAATAATACAGGAAGTGGCAATAGTAAAATTAGATCTTTTAATGGAAAATAAATATTATGTTCCACGAACAAACAGATCTGTTTGTTCACTCAAGATAATTAGGAAAGTCTATGATTGTACAACATGCACTTTGCACACCTTTATGTCTGTGTGGACGTCGTGTATGTAAACTCGAAGAACGTGCAATTAAAAGAATCAATTCTAGCTATTATATTAGGTTGTTGCATAAGTTCTGACTGACAAGAATGAAATTTTTCAGAATTTTACATGTCGCTATTAAATAAAATTCTTCTTTGGAATTAATAAAATTTCTAAATTAAGAATCGTGAGCTATTAATTGACATTGTTTATTCCGAGAATAGTTTTGAGAACGACAAATGGGTTAAGCAAACATCACCGGTTATTTCGTACAGAGACTACTGAAAATTTCGAAACACGATTTGATGACAAGTTTGCAAAGTGGCAGTAGAATCAGCCTCGATTAGCTCTCCTGAAAAGTAGAACAAGTCGGTTACTGGTCGGACTAGAAGCCGCGTCCATAATGAATTCGTATTTTCAACAAAATACAATTTCTTTGCATTAATTCAAGAAAAGCTTGACAACCATAAAACACTGAGCACAGAAATTTGTCTCGCGCCTGTCTTCACTGATGCTCGTATTATGGCAATAAACGACACCGAGAAAAAGTTTAAATAACGCTTTATCCGCGATTAAAGAAACCAGGGTAAAGAGAGAAAGAGATGAGAAAAGATAAGAAGAGATATCGTGCACCTGTACTGCACCATATAGGGATAACGAGCATCGTGGTCGAAGAGTGTACAGTGCACGACGATAATTCGCAGAAGACGTAACCAGTGAACTATGTGAAATCGACCGGTTTTTGTCGCTTTTACATGCCGATCGGAACATTACTGATCAAAAAAATAAAATAAATAAATATTAGAAAGATTCAACTTTCTATTTCGACCCATTTACCAAATTTTACAGTATCTTTCTTGGTAACAAATTCTTTTATATTCATCTTCTAAATTTTACCCTGTTTCTTTAAAAATTATTCTTACAACATATAAAAGTCTTTCGTTTAAAAATTGTACATTTAACTTTAGATTAATATTCTTGTATACGTTTTGTAAATTTGGGTCATGATCGAACCAGGCTCCGCAGTCCAAGGGTTAACAAGTTGACTGCCTCGTCATCCACATGTGGATGATGCTGGAATTTCCATAGAAATCCATTACCCATACCGTTAGAAATATCTAATTAGAAATACTTCTATTAGGTGCCTGAAATATTTAAAAAATAATTTCTTCTGTCTTTCTCATCGCACTGTAACGTTGAAATTCCTACGCCATAAGTACCATTCTGCGATCCTTTTATGTCATCAAACGATATTTGATATGCAATCAGCTAATAGTTTACATGATTGAGATTTCATGATCGAATATTTTCGAGTACAACCGAAACAGATGGTGTGTCATCGAGTATTTTATCGTTGAAAGATAACAAAAAAAAAAAAAAAAAGCACTACGGAGAATGGGGAGGAAAGGTAATCCTAGAGAGTGACATCATCGAAAAAATCATACACCCGTATGCAAAACTAGGCCAGCTATAAACAACATTTTTAATGACACCCGTTCGTATGATTTAGCTTACCAGATGTCTGCTCGATGACAAGTCAATCTAGCAAATATACGTTCAATGATTTATTTATACAAATCATAGCCAACATTTCAAATCTATACTAGTATCATAAAATAGGAAATTGAAAGCTTCAAAAATGAGCTAATTCAATTTTTTATGTATGAGGAGTACTGTATCTACTAATTAACTGTATGAGGAGTAAAATTGTGATCTTGAACTCTCAATGGGATCGAAAAGAATTCTGAATCAACCTGCAACTTATAAGTGAGGAAAGCAAGCACGTTGCCAAAAGGACAGAGCTATAAACGGTATTGCGCGTAGGAACGTGGAAATTGCGCGGGATGAAGAATTGCCGCGTCGCGTCGACGTCTTTCGTTCGGATTAAGGATGATCTCACTCGAATTAAATCCATCATTGAATCGGTCGAACCGTTTTTTTTTTTTTTCGGACGGTTTCAACGTAAACTATAATCTTTTAATAATTCCACGATACGTATAATAATTCTGATGTAGTCAAGAGTTGCAAAGGCTTGAATCATCACTATCTCCACTTTTTCCTTTGCGCTATTATATTTGATTGCCACAGAAAATTGTCAGAGCAGGGGTTAATAATTCTTCTTGAGGTAAAATGAATCAACGACCTAGATCTGCGCAAAGATGTTTAAACGCTAAAGACGCGAAACGTAACAGCGTGGGTGACGATTAGCTTGTCATGCGACGATGATTAAGTAATTCGAAACGTTCGGGATCGTTTGCCCCACTGGTCGAGGATACGATGATCTGCATGCATAATGCAACCTGGATGCGTCCCTCGTTAACCTAACGTTTCGTTTCTCCGATATAATTCGTAGTTACTATATCTACAAGCGTCCTCGATCTAAATCTCCAACGCGAATCGACGGAACTGCTAAACGATCGGTTGGCTTCATTTTCAAAGCGATTAGTGAACGATGGATCAAAGATCGACTTTTTCCTTTAAATATTAATGAAACTTGAATACTATGGAATTTCTCGTATCAAAAATTGTTTCTCTACAAAAATGTATTAAGGTACTTGGAACGAAAATTGATTAGTTCGAAAGATATCTCAGGGAGAGATTTAAGCCCTTCCAAATTAAACAATTTTTTTTTTCTTTATTTTCAATTTTCCATTGAATAAAAAGTTCCGTCACTCTTTGAAACTGTTTCATCGATGAAGCGTGACTCAAGGATTTGTTCACTTGTAGACGCCGTGGAAGTTGTAAGAAAAAAAAAAAGTGAACGTTCGTTATGGTAGAAGCTATCGTCTAATACAGCGTGCCATTTCTTTTATCAGATTGAAGGTACATAGGTAAGTGCACTGATCACAGCAGCTATCTTTACATGGCATCGTTTCGCAGATGTCGAACTTGAAAGAAGCTCTGGGAATCGGCGAACTTACCGATAAGGAGTCAGGCCTTTATCGAGCTCTTGTAGCGGAATTCCTCGGCACCTTGCTGTTGAACTTCTTCGGCTGTGGATCGGTCGTCACTGGTAACATCGTTGCCATAAGCTTGGCCTTTGGCTTGACGGTAGCCGCCGCCATTCAAGGAATCGGACACCTTTCCGGTGGCCACGTCAATCCTGCGGTTACCTTTGGTTTAATGGTAATTGGTAAGGTAAGAGGAACGATAAAAAGTAATTTGATTTTTATTCATCCTGTGATAGCTATGAGCTGATACGGTCGCTAGTATAACTAGGATTCCTTTAGAAAGGCTAGATCACTTAGCTTTATACAATATCTTGCATTTCGCAAGATTCAACGAGAAGATCTTAGAATTTTTTCATTCCAGAACTTCAAAGCAATTCGAGAATTTGAGCCATGTAAGAAATCTTAGATTTCCAGGATTTCAGAAGAATTTCAGAATCTTAGAATTGATGGAATTTAAGAATTTCAGCGACGTAAGAAATCTTTTAATTTTCCAGGTACCAATAATTAGAGGGTTACTGTACGTGATAGCTCAATGCATAGGAGCGATAGCAGGGTCTGGTGTGTTGAGAGCATTATCTCCCGAACGAATGGAGGGTGCACTAGGCGTGGTATCCCTCTCCGATGATGTTACGCCTGTCCAAGGATTTGGTATCGAATTTTTCCTCGCTTTGATACTGGTACTGGTCGTTTGCGGTGCATGCGACCCAGCTAAACATTACAGCAAAGGAATTGCCCCTCTCATAATCGGACTGTCGGTCTTAGTTGGTCATCTTGTTGGCGTAGGATATTTCATTTCTAAACACTTGAAAATAATAAAAGTAGTTATTTCTAATTGTGTGATTGTGTCAACAGGTACCAAGAACTGGAGCAGGAATGAATCCAGCTAGGTCGTTAGGCAGTGCAGTGGTGATGGGAATGTTCGATAATCATTGGCTTTATTGGATCGGTCCGATTCTGGGTGGAATGGCGGGTGCATTGATCTATGCATTTGTAATCAGTCCAGCAAAGGAGGAGGAACTTCCGCGAACATACGCTGCGGTCGCAACAGCGGAGAAAAGGGAACGATAAACAAGAAGAGGACAGAAATTGAATTAATTACACGCAGTGCAATTATGGAGACGGTCCCTGATTTCGTTTAGAGAGTCATTTTATTCATGAAAATATCGCAGAGAAAATAAGTGGTTAGCTTTATACGCTTCTATCAGCACTATAAAGTAAATTGCTCTATGATTTTTAGCGAAATGAATGCAAAATCATTAGAGGATATTTTAAGGGAGATTTTAACCGTCGTACAGTGACATCCGGCTCATTTTTGAGTTACTATTAAAGCAACAAGTTGTTACAGTTTCAAGTCTAAAGCCAGGAAACCCAAGTTGCATTTGTGTTATATTTTAGCTATAATTCTACGTCTAATTATGTGTAATTTGTAAAATTAAGAATTGTGAAAGACTTATAATATTCTAAGGTATTGTTTACTGTTTGCTTTGATATTTCTTGATTTATTAATGTAGATACATATATGCTTTGTCAAAAAATAACATTTTTTTCAGTACACGTTTGCATTAATCACTGTTACCGATTATGCATACCATCGCTAGTGTGTAGGAGTCGTATTGGTATTAGCAGTGATTGCAGCTACAAAAAGACTGGACATGCCTTTGCTCTCTTACATCCCTGCATCCCTTACATCCCAGCATCCCTGTGAAAGGAATGATAAATTTTGTGGTTCGCATTATTAAAATAAAAATCCTTAAATATTATTAATTGAAAAGAATGCGTATCTAGTAGAATGAAAAGCAAATTGGCTTGTTGTGCCTTCTTCATAAACTTGTTCTAGGAATTTTGAATCGGGGAACCAGAATGTGTTTACTCGAATATAATCCGCACGCGTCTGGCGATCATTCAACGTTCGATCGTCGAGGAGGATCTCGTGTCAGGTACTTATTTCTCTTTCCAAATTAACTACCCTTAATATTGCTTTCCATCAGATGGTCCCCTTTCCTCCGTTTACAATCTTCGTGTCTATTATAATTTTAACGCGAAAACGAATTAAGAACTGTAATTAAAGATACAGGAATTTTAATAATCATGAATAATTATATATTTCAGAAATACTGCTGAAATCAGTCTAATAAACTACACTTAAAAACCACCACATCGCTGAAACAACAGTAAAGGTAGGAAATTAATTTTATTGTATATATAAAATACCGAATTGAAAAGAAATTATTATAATAATTAATATTGCAATTAATTTCATAATATTACGTATCAAAATAATTGCAGTAGTAAAATAATTTTCGTGCCGTTTAAAATTATTTCTCTTATTTGAACGTGTTGATTACAAACTCTCGATCTTGAATCATGTCCTTTGAAAAAATTCTATGTAATATTTCACAGCATCATAGCTTCACCAAGGATCTGAGGTCACACGGTTTATATACAAGGACTGTTTCCTTCTCATATCCTGAAGGCACACTGAACAGTATTTCATTCGATCGATTCATAACAAAATTATTTAAAATGTTAATCAATGAAAATATCAGTATATTCTTAGAATTCGATAACACACTTACCAGTGTGAAGATTAATACATCCTGGCATCCTGAAGGTCTATCAATAAGTACAAAATATTCTGAATCCTCAAATCTTGAGGATATAAATATTAGTCAAAAAGTTCATATATTTATAGAGTTTAAAGATACTGTTACTAATTTGACAATCGGTACAGCCTCAGATCCTGAGGACATATTAATTACAATGAAAAACAACGAATTCTTAAATTTTAACGATTTAATGATCAGTGGTAAAATTGATATATCTTTAGATATTAGTGATATATTTACTACTGTGAAAATTAGTTCATTCACAAATCTTGAAGATACAATTAACAACAAAATTGGTATATTTTTAAAAATTATGGATCAGATGATTAGTGAAGAAGTTCATATATCCTTAGAGCTTGATGATGCCTTCACCAATGTTAAAATTAGCACTCATAGATCTTAACGATTCAATGATTGCTGTAGTAAACAGAACATTATATTAGAATAAAATTATATTTAGTGCATTTCTAGATTACTCCAGATATGCCTAATTTTTTTTTTTTTTTTTAATAATGTTTCCTCTCTACTTGAAGTCCAAATGTTATTTTATACCAAATGATTATTACCACCGTTAATAGTGGAAGGGTTAAATTAATTTCTCAGTATATTGAAGAGGTCATGAAGAATTCACTTTATTAGACGACGAAAGGAAACAAAAAAAAAAGAAAAAGATTGATCGTTGAACAACGACACGATCGCATTATTCGTACAAAGTGCAGGCGGTGTATATACAAATATTCCTCATTCTCAATTTCTCTCACTCGCTCTGGTCATTCAAGTAACTTTATCAATGGAAATATTCGTCGGGAACGTAATCAAGGGATCCTTGAGTGAAACGGTCTATTATCACACAGAAATCGTCGCGTTTTTTCTCCTCGTTCCTCTTCACGGACGCAAAATTCCAAACACACGAATTCGAAAACTCGAATCGTATATAATAATAATTTGTATCTTCGTTAATTCGTCTAATATACAAAATTTCCCGGAGAAAAATCAGACTGGCCGATTCGAATTGAAACTCGATTCCACTTATATTTTCCTTCGTTCGAATTTCCTGAGGAACCGACACATCGAAAGATCGCTCGCTTACGTTTTATTTTTCATTTTTCTTTCGCTTTTCTTCTACCTCGATCCTTACAGGCTACAGAACTCTCACACACACACACACACACTCGCGAAAATCTCAAACATTCTAGCATTTTTTGTATACTTTCTCGTTGATCACTCATACATAATCATCCCTCGGAAACGAAACAAAAATTTCGTTCTTTTTGTTTTACTTCGATCGTATAGATCTCTCATTAAGTCAATAATTGAATTATCGGTCGCAAAGCGATTCGACGTCGTAGAAAAATTATTAGCAATTCATTGGCACCTGTTATTTCTAGCGAGCTTTCGTTGCTTGAGGTATTCGCGTTGAAGAAATAGCGTTTCAGAAATTGAACAGTGCAGAGAAATTATTATTTTTCTATTTTTATTGTATTCTGTGAAATTTCTCTTTGAGGAGTATTTTAAATATTATAAAGGCAACTTGCAACATTTTATAAAATTTCGTTATTCTGACACTTTCATGGTAAATAACATAAATAGAAACAATAAAATAAAACAATCATATCTAGACTTAATTTTTTTCCTTTGTCTGTGTACTTTCAAAGTCTGCAACGCTATTCCAACAGAATTTGCATAGTGATCGTTTAATATTAAACAATCCTCTTGTCAAAAATTATCGTGTTTATTATCGGCAATTCTGAACAATTGTCTCGTATAAAAATCGTTTGAAGAACTCTCGTGTATTTACATAGACCATCCTAAGTACCGTCGGTTGGCTTGTTGCTAATAATTTTTCTTCGAAATACACTTCGAAACGCGCGTTATTCCACAAGAATAATAATTCGCGTATTCGTAAAATGTTTGCATTATAAAAAAAAAAAAAAAACAAAAAAAAAATTGGATGGGAGTCGTGTACCTAGGGGGGAGAGAATATTTACATACGATACTGGCAGTACATCTTCAGCTTCCTGTTTCACCCTTCGCGAACCGGAAACGCGCGACAAATTGACTAATTAACATATTACTAATCGTTCGTGGATGAAATAAACATCCTTTTTTAATTAAATAATAAATTAAAATTGAATAAAACGTTGCCGTTATAGCACAATTATATTTTAATATTTGAATTTTGTAATAAATAAATAATTAGCTCTTGTATGACGGATGTAGGATCATTTTGACCCAGTTATAAATAAAATGTGTAAAATATAGAAAATTTATTCGTAGAGCTTATTCCAGGTATGTACTTTATTAGATTTAAATATAGTATTTACAATTGAAAATATATTTTAAATTTTGTACACAATTCAGCCTTCGGAGCTGCATATAGTAAAGTTTTAATTATGGGTAAAAATGACCCTGCATCTGCTGTGTCAGTCTTAGAACATCCGTCATTCGAGACTAACTATCTATAATAATTTATTCATTCATTTTCAATTAGTGTTGTGGCACAATTTCATTTCAATAGCTCTGTCAATTAATTATCAGTCAATGAGCAGTCAATAAGTTTATTAACCCCTGTAACTTTTGATTAATATTCTATACCGATGCACTGATTGTTGTGCGTTTGAATTATAAAATCGTATCGAAGCTTGAAACTGGATTAATTAACCCACAAATTAATTAAGTCTGACAACGACTGGGACAACCACGACCCAACCCTACGAAACAAGGGTTGATTACTAAAATTAGGAACAGATCAAAATTGTAAATATTTTGGAAAAGGTAAATAAACTTTCAAATTGACAAAGTCTTAATTCGCGTTTCCTCGCGCGAAAGGGTTTTTTCTCGCGCGTACGCTCATAGCGAGCGTAATTATCCGCTTCATTTAGCGTCTACGCTGGCTTTGTACAGTGGATTGTGTTCGCAACGGTTTTCAATGATTTCGTTCTTCCCCTGTCGCATTCGAACCGCATGTGATCGATCTTACAATCTGAACCGAATCAATGAGTACTAAAAATCAAAGTAGAGATTAGAAATTTCTTTCGAAGAAGCTTTCAAACTTTAGACCTAAAATTTTTGAAATATCTTGCAATTATACCTAATAAAATTAGATGATTTACACCACTGTAATTTCTACCTTCTCATTTGTACATAAAAATTAAATTAGTTACGAAATTCTTATTAATCCCTTGCTTCCTTTGCTCAATTCGGTTCAGATCGAGCGCAAAGAAGGAAACTTCAACGAAATCAGATCACCGTAATACGAAAAGGAAAACAATCGCATTCGTAGAGCTTACAAGGTAGACCGCGAGAATATAACAAGAAAAATAATAATAAAAAAAAAAAAAATAGATAGTATAGAAATCGTTTAACAATACAAGTGCGAAACGACGCGACGCTTCATTAAAATTAATATACCTTGCATTAACTTGGTTAATACGATGCAAGTGCGTCGTTTTCTAATCGTCCTCTCTTAACTTACTTAATAAACAATACATAAAACGATCACGAGGTTTTTTTTTCACAATGTTGATCGAGACAGAGAGAACAAAAAAAATTATGGGGGATGGAATTCATTCGTTTCGTACGAAAAATACACGAAACATCGCCGCTTTTCTATATTCGTTGACCACTTTAATACGCTTACTTTAGTCGCTGAAAAAAAATAACAGCTTCTACGAAAACGACTTTCTTAGATTGTACTCGAGTTCGCCATTTACAATATTCTTCGCGTGACAAGAGGACGAAAGAACGAAAAACAAATTACTAATAATATTACAATAGTAATAATAATAATAATAATAATAATAATAATAATAATAAAAGAAACTAAATACACGTACAGCATTGAGCAAAGTAGATTTCCTCAGGGAAAATAACGATGTCCGGAGGTCCTCCCACCGCTCGAAGGCTTCCTCCTCCTCCTCAGTCATTCGCACACTAAATTTTATGAAATTTAATAATTAAAAATTGTTATTTCTTTTTCTATATCACTTTCAAGGTTTTGAGAATTTCTGCTTTCCTTGTAATGCCATTTACCCTAAGGAAGCCTACCCTACTCCATACTGTACGTTCGTTCGATTAAAAATTAATCGAAGTATCATAGCGCAGTATATTGTCTAACGTTTGTTTATTAAATTATAACTTAAAAGATGTTTGGCAGTGTATTCTCGTCCAATAATTACCTATTTACGTTCCTTTAGAGAGTAACGTTGTCCCGCTCTTTGCGATGCACTTTTTCTGAACAAATAATTCATGCTATTGAGTATCTCTCATTAAAACATTCGTACCCTCTCAATTAATAATTTATTATTCAGGGTGGAGATCTAATTTTTTGTAGGTTTGATACATCTACGAATCTTTTGATTTTACCTTTTTTTTTCCTATATTAAAAATAAGGCTACCGAATAGATTCTGATTTTATATTGTGGAATAATTTGTACGTAATCCAATTAGTAATTGAAAGGGTACTCGTCCGACTAACTAGTAATTCGCTAGTTACTCGATCGTGTTTATTAAATTTCGCACAATTAACACCGGTTACAACTTGAACACACTTGAACACATCTTTCGAAGATGATCAAATAAAGAACGTTTTCTCGCGAATAATGATAAACAAGAGAAAAGAATGTAGAAACGGTATAAGAATAATGAGCGACTGTTTAATTGGCAAAAAGATTCTTGTACGTGTAATTCGAAGATTGCCATCGCTGTGTTGCTGAGCTATAATGATCTCTCTAAAGGAGTCACAATGCGCAAAATGATAGTTACGTGTAAGTAGATTAAATAAATTAGCGCTTAAAAAAAATACCTATCTTAGGTAAGTCTGTCTAAGCAATGAATGACTCGCGGATTTTTTGTATCCTGATGTTTAAGGGAACAAACTCGTACGACCTTCGTTTTTCGCTAATAAATTATTAAACAAAAGAGTAGAAAGAATATAAGAAGACTATTTTTGGTATCCGAAAGAAAGACAGATAAAATAAGGGAGCCTCGATTTTTTTCCTTTTCAAGAATCGAGCACAATTTTTTAAAATAAACTCTTTCAATCGGAGACTTTAACGAGGAATATTTCTAGTTTTCCTGCGGTTTTTATAGTATACTAATTAGTAAGTTCTGACCCCAAATTCTGTGCAGCATAGTTATTAAATTAAAGAAATATCGTTTCTTGCTACTGACCATGTAAATTTTACAAAATTCATTTCGCGTCGTACGCGCGCTTTTTTCTTTTAATAATTAACAAGAACAATTCGTTAAGATTCGCTACGAGTTCGGAAATGATCTCCCGCTTGAAAAATCCGCGTAGAGAATTGTACAAAGTCGTCGTTAAATCTTTGCACAGATAATTTTGGCCAATCACTTACGTGTTTAGCTTTTGTTATATTGTACGAAATAGGAGTGTATGTGTGTATTTGTGTTCTTTTCCCCTTAGTCTTGTATAATAATGAGCAATGCTAGAACCGTAT